AGATAGATAGATAGATAGATAGATAGATAGATAGATAGATAGATAGACACGGATAACTTCCTATTAAGCAGAGTCTCCAGTTTACTTAAAACATCCCACAAAACTGAGCAGTTGTTTGACCAGTCTGCTAGCTTGTAGCTGAGCTATTGTCCACGGAGCTAGCATTAGGCTAACAAGATTCAAAACTTCTTACGTACAAGTGATAAATATCAAATATTTCGTTTGGTAATATGTTAAACAGAAAGGCAAGCTTTTAATACAGATATTTGCCTTTTCCGAAATTTATGGTAGATAGATAGATAGATAGATAGATAGATAGATAGATAGATAGATAGATAGATAGATAGATAGATAGATAGATAGATAGATACTTTATTTATCCACAGGGGGAAATTCAAGGTCCCAGCAGCTTAGCTTCTGGAGCCCTCCGGATGCTGATCTACCTGTGATTGGCCTGAGCTGCGCCCCTCTCTGATTGGCTGAGCCCCGCCCGTTTCGGGCCACAGCCCCCAGGTCCTGAGCCTGTTCAGGCCCTCCGCAGAGCGGGCCGTGGGGTCCAGGCGGCCTGCCGGGATCCGGGCGGGCAGCTCCCAGGTGCCTTTAAAGTCCGGCCACGCCCCGCCCCTCTGGAGCAGAGCAGGGACACACGGGGAGAGTTTACCGGGTTTATATAGTTATTAATATTAGTGCGCAAAAGCTGCAGGCTGCCTGTTAAAGGGGACATATTATGCCAAACCAAATACAAAAAATACAGATTAAGTAAAGTAGCCTATATATAATAGGAATACATTAAATTAAGAATTTTTTTTTTTACAAAAAATACAGAGTACTGTTTATATAATACGAATAAATTAAATTAAGCAAAACAAATACAGATTAATTACTGTGTATATAATAGGAATAAATTCAATTAATCAAAAAAATTAAAAAAAATACAGATTAAATACAGTGTATATAGTAGGAATAAATTAAATTAAGCAAAAAATATTTTTTTTAAAGTACAGATTAAGTACAGTGTATATAATAGGAATAAATTAAACTAAGCAAAAAAATAATAAAAATACAGATTAAGTACAGTGTATATAATAGGAATTTTGTGTATGTAATGTAGGAGTTTGGCGGATAGATTGACCAGTAATATGGTTTGCACTTGCACTATGTGGTTTATGGAGCTAGTAACAAAAATGTCCCCCTCTGAGATTATTAAAGTATTTCTGATTCTGATTCTGGTATCGATGGGGCAGAAATAATGTCTGAACTCTTACCCGGACCACTCCAGGGAGCAGGTGTCCGTTATCATCAGCTATGAAGGAGGTGTGGCCCACCTGCACATCTGGGCTCTGCACACACACACAGGTCTGTTCACTCAGACTCACAACCGAAATAATCCAGTACAGGGCAGCTAAAAAAAAGGTTTCTACCTCTTTGAAGTGCTTGGGCTGACACCAGTTCTGCAGCCTCTGCGATTTGAAGGCTCCTTCATACTGAGGAAGAAGTTTAAAAGCTGTTTTTAAAAATAGCAAAACTGGAACACAAAATAATATTCTTATTCTGGAGGAAATCTTATACTTGCAGACAGTTTGTTTACCTGGTTTGCTGAGAAATTGGACGACATCTCTGAGTCTGGTCCCCCCCGATGAGTTGTGTATTGTTGACTGGTTGCGTAGCAACGCAAACAAGGTGCTTGACGCAAACTAGCTGAATAGAAAAAAAACTATTCAAAGAGACAGGGCTCATAATTTTATGAGTTTATTATAATATAATATGTTGAAAATCCGTATAAACAGTACACCTACATTTAATAATTAGGAACAATCGACTTCTCGCGAGAACACGACGTTGAAGTTAGCTTCCAGGTCAGATTTGGTTTCACGTGATTTCTAAAACAGACTGCTTGAATATAAATATAAACCAGTCCGTTAGAGGTTGTAGATTAATAATGACATTGGTTGAGATTTTTAAAAAATCATAACATATGTTTACGACTCTTACGATATCCAAGTCTAAGCAATAAAAACAAACATAGTTTAAGGACACACAATAATTTCAAAATATTCAAAAAAAAGAAAGAAAAAATGGAAACTTGGGGGAATTTGCACAAATAATAAAAAGCTAAAAAAATACATTTAAAAAATCTTAAAAGCCTAAACTTGTTTGTGTGTGAATCGAAATCAGCGTCGACGTCTAACATGAAGAAAGACTTTTACTTTGTCAGCCACTTCCGGAAACGCTTAACCAGAAACATTTAAACAATATAACATTGACTCGATTTTATTTAGATATACATTTAAATATATATTTGTATATTTACACCTTTCATTAAATGTGTCTGATATTTTTAAACGTCGCCGGAAAACATGTTTACGTTTGAAAATTCTAACCGGAAGCTGTAGTGTTTTGCTTCCGGTGTCAAACGTACTCGAGAAAGTGCGTTTGCTAGCGGCTAACCGGACCCAAGCTGGCACAAATGCTTAGTTAAAACAAGCATTTTGCAGCATTTTTGCCTTAAATTGTGAGTTTGTCATCCCCTCTTTGAATCAGGAGACAGTCCTCTGGTTCTCCCGGTATGGAGGGTCCCTCCGCACGGTCCTCCACCGCCCCGGGGGAGAGGAGGGAGTCCGGCGTGGACTCAGACCCCACTCGAGACACGAAAACCCACTTTCGCGTGTGTCGCTTCATCATGGAGGCGGGTGAGTGCCGCGTGCGCGAGCATTTTAGTAATTTCCCCTATACATCCATTATAATAAATAAAAATAAATGACACTATCTCCCTTTAAGGCGCAGCTTTGCGTTGATAGCTGACGGTTTGCTCCTGAATGGCCTTTTTTAACTGTAATCCAGTTAAAAACGAAACTGTCAGAGCTGCTAGTGGAAATAACCTAACCTCCTCCAGGCTTTCCACATAAGTTTAGTTTAGTTAAGTTACTATATTTAAAGACTAACACTGTGTCATCAAATCTGAATAAACTGAAATTGACGTCATTCTCAGACTGGGTTGAAAACAGATAATAAAACAGTCTTCTTCACACGAGATTTAAAGGCATTGATTGAGGGGGTTTGCATCTTTTATAGCTTTTGGGCCAGAAGAGGATAAAGGTTTAATCGCATCTGAGTTTCTGCTGTGATTTAGGATGAACTCTGAGTTATCCAGAGCAGACTGGCATGTTTTGCTCACATGATCCGACATATAAATAGTTGATTCTCTGGATGAGATGCTCAAAGATGGAAAAAACTAATACAAGATAAAAGGCCAACTGCTCCTATTTAAGGTTTTCGGACATTTTAAATAGAAGCTGTTTGCTTCTGCCTCAGATTTTGGTGCCTCATGTTTGAGATGCAGTGGCTGGAATGAGGTCCACCTCAGGTGGTTGTTATGGGCAAAGAAACTAGTCAGACATTTCTTTTCTGTTTTTGGTGAGGCTTCTGGTCTTTAGATGAAAGTTGAACCATCTTTAAAATCCACAAAGTCCAGATGCCTTCACTCAAAATCTCAGGAAATGTGCTGGAACTCAGATGCATCATCATCCTTAAAACTACTTTCTTAAGATTTAATTAGACTAAAACCGACCTTAAAATGTGCTCAGCAGCAGTTTAATGGGCTCATTTTGCTGCATTTTTCCCCTTTTCAGGTCTGGATGGAACAGCCACAAACTGTGTAATGAAAGTTTGTTTAAACAAGAACGCCTGAATAAGCTACTCCACTTCATCAGCAAGCTAAAGAAGCTTGATATGTACAACAGCAGGCCTGAAATGCTTAGAATGACCAAACCTGGCAACACCAGATTGGAACTTTCACACCCCCCCAAAAAACAGAATATAATGATAAAATAAATCCAATAATAAATCCCTAAATAAATGGACTTTTTTGCCCTTTCTCACTAATTTCTGATCTGATTTGGACAACAAATCTCAAACTCTTTCAGCTCTGCTTCCTGATTGGTTCGGAGCCGAGGGGCCAGGATTCGGGGATGTGGGTTTTTTGTGTTTGGTTTGTGTGGGGTGACCCTGTTTTTTCTGCCCAGGGGTGAAGCTGGGCATGCGCTCGGTGCCGGTGGCCACGGCCTGCGTGCTGTACCACCGCTTCTTCCAGCGCGCCAGCGTGCGCGTGTACGAGCCCCACCTGGTGGCCATGAGCTGCGTTTACCTGGCCGGGAAGGTGGAGGAGCAGCACATCCGGACCCGCGACATCATCAACGTCAGCCACAGGTAGCAGAGCATCCGCCCGCTGGAGGGGAGGTCAGAGGGTTTTAAAGGGGACATATTATGCAAAACCACGTTTTTAATCATTTGATTGTGTACATTTGGGACTGTGGCGGGCCTATCAGCAGGCAAAGTGTGAAAAGAAATGGCTACGTCATGTTTTTGTGGGCTGCCTCAGTCTGAATCCAGGAGATAAATCAGGAGGTTTCAGATGAGCATAGACTGTAGGCAAATAAGAAAAAGGGAACGGTTCTATGAGAGAACATGTCGCCGGTGAGACGCAAGTCCAGGAAGAACGGAATAAGGTAGAAACAAAAAAATTTTCCTGATGAAAGAAGAGAGTCTACTCTTTTTTTTGGTGTGTTCGGTGTTTATATAGTCATAGCACAAACTATTCTGTGGCTCTTGAAAAATCAGTCAAAATGCTCCAAAAACTCTGGCAGTATGGGACTCTCTGTTCTGAAAATGGCTGGTGATCAATGAGTTAAAACCCAAACTCAGCGTTTCTGCATGGTTCCTGGTTCTGTTTGCCTCTGGGTCTGCAGGTACTTCAACAGAGGCAGCGCCCCGCTGGAGTGTGACCGGGACTTCTGGGAGCTGCGGGACAGCGTGGTGCAGTGCGAGCTGGTCGTGCTCCGCCAGCTCAACTTCCACGTGTCCTTCGAACACCCGCACAAGGTGCGTCTGCCGCTAACTTACCGCTAACTGCTGCTAACTACTGCTGCTAACATGCCGCACGGCCGGAGACCTGTTAACCCGCCGCTAACCGGCTCTTAACCTGCTGCTAACCCACCGTAAACCCGCTGCTAACTTGCCGCTTGCCCGCCCCCAACCCCACCGTTATCTGGCTACTAACCGGCCGCTAACCTGCTGCTAACCCGCCTTTGGACCAGCTTCTAAACGGCCACTAACCCACCTTTTGGCCTGCCACTAACCTGCCACTAACCCACTTTTCTATCGGCCACCAACCTGCCACTAACCGGCCGTTAACCTGCCACTAACCTGCTGCTAACCCACTTTGGACCAGCTTCTAACCGGCCGCTAACCCACCGCTAACCCGTCTTTCTACCGGCCACCTACCCACCGCTAACTAGCCGCTAACCGGCCACTTACCGGCTGCTAATAAGCCGCTAACCGGCCACTTACCGGCTGCTAATTAGCCACTAACCCACCACTAACCGGCCGCTAACCTGTCGCTAACCCACCACTAACCCACCGCTAACCTGCTGCTAACTGGCCACTTACCGGCCGCTAACCCACCACTAACCTGCCGCTAACCCGCCGTTAACCAGCTGCTAACCCACCGCTAACTGGCCACTTACCGGCCGCTAACCCACCGCTAACCGGCTGCTAACCCACCACTAACCAGCCGCTAGCCCACCATTAACCCACCGCTAACCAGCCGCTAACCCACCACTAACCCACCGCTAACCCCCGCTAACCTTCCCCTCTCCCTGCAGTACCTGCTGCACTACCTTTTGTCGGTGAAGTCTCTGGTGAACCGGCACGCCTGGTGCCGGACGCCGGTGGCCGAGACTTCCTGGGCGTTGCTAAGAGACTGTTACCACGGAGCCGTCTGCATCCGGCACAGCCCGCAGCACATCGCCGTGGCAACGCTGTACCTGGCCCTCAACAGCTACGGCGTGGAGCTGCCCGCCGGAGAGAGGGAGTGGTGGCAGGTGCTTTATTCAGCATTTTATACTTTTTTTCTCTGACTTCAGTTTAGTTTAAGGAACATCTGAGTCAACGTGAAATTTCCAAGACGTCAGTCTGTTTACAGTAAGAATTGAATCGAATTTAATTGAATTGAATCACATATAAGGATAAATTAAATCAGAGCAAAGCAAAAAGCAACAAGAGTTATTATGGAACACAAAAATAAAAACTAGTGCAATTTCAATTAAAAAAGTTACAGGTAAAGCAAAAAAAAAAATTTCTTTATAACAAGAAAGAGAGAAACCTGTTTTTAAAGTCTGATCCAGTTCATGGATCAGTCTGTCTGGGTCTGATTTAGACTCTGTTCTCTGATTCTGGATGTTTTTTAGACGGTATAAAGACAAAAAAATGTACTTTTTCTTGCTTTGATGTTATATTTTTATGGTGTCAGAGTGAAAAATGGCATTTTTAAGGTCACAATGACATCAGTAACAGGTCAGTTTGAAACCAAAGACCCCCCAAAATTCAGGGTCAGGGTTAGTTTTAGGGTCAGGGTCAGAGTTGGGGTTAGGGCTAGGGTTAGGGTTAGGTTTAGAGTCCTAAACGTGGCCCACCATAACATCAGTAAGTTTGAAACCAAAGACACTAACCTGTGGAAATTCAGTTACATTTTGGGGTCTTTGTTTTTATCCTCGTGGTATCGAGTATCGAATATTCTCCTGAGTATCTGTATCGAGTTGAACATTTTTGTATTTTATTAAACTCCAGCCAGGATTAGGGTCAGGGTTAGGTTTAGGGTCATTAATATGGGCCACCTGCCACAATAACATCAGTAACAGGTCAGTTTGACACGAAAGACACCCCAAAATTCAGTTAAATTTTTGTTTTTATCCTTGTGGTATAGAACATGGAATATTTTCCTGAGTATCTGTATCGAGTTGAACATTTTAGTATGGTGACAGCCCTAGCCTGAGCCTGGTTGTGTGTCTGTGTGCGCAGGTGCTTTGTGAGGACGTGACCAAAGCCGACATCGAGGCGGTGATCTCTGACCTCCTCCGGCTCTACGACCTGGAGGCCAAATGCATCTGACCACTCAAATATGCAGCAACCGCAGTACCGCCTCCGGCCACCGGGGGGAGACATTTCCCAGTTTATGGACGCTCCCCCTCTCTCTCCTCTCTGCTCATTTCCTGCTCTAAACACCACCCAGAGGCCTCCACTCCATCAGGAAATACACAGAAACTACACCTCAGGTGTTCTGGATCCTGATCTTTATCCTTTTAATTGAAGGAAGAAGAAGTTTTAGGCCATAAAGGACCTGAAACTGTGTCTGAGCAGCCCGTTCTGACTCAGATTGAATCGGACTCGGCAGCTCTGGATCCTCCCGGTTAAATAATCCGTTGTGTTTTTGTAGGTCGGCCGTTAGTGGAGAACCAGCTCATGAATTATGGTTTGAATCCGGTGGTTTTATTAAAGTTTTACCGGCTGGCTGTGACGTGAAAGGGTTCACTGGAGGGTTTTCCAGCTCTGTTTCCAGAGAGGAAAATAAAAAGTGTTTTTGTATTTTTTGTCACATCTGTGATTCAATGTGTGTTTCGTTTTGATTTTGTACTACAGTTGCTAAATTAACCTCCTCCCAGAGTGTGTTTTTTCTTCATATTCCAGTTTGTTTGCCAGGGTTTTTTCTCCTCTCCAACCCCCGGAGATTCATTGATTTCCAAAACCGATTAAAGGCGGATCTTAGAGCCTCTGTGTTTCCGGGCTGGACGTGTTTCTTCGTTAGCGTTAGCATTAGCGTTAGCGTCCAGGACGCTCGTTAAAAGGCCGGAAACGGCTCTCTGGTGATGCGTAATGGCGGCCCGGTGGAGTTTGGTCTGTTTAAAAATGCATTTGCAGGTTTTTGGAGGCTGAAATGAAGGAAAACGGCTCGTCTTTTTGGGAAAACGGAGCTCCAGCCAAACCGACTCTGGCTGGTTCCCAGTTTCCCCACCAGGGTAAAAATATTTTACATTTATCCAGCCCCTTTAACCAAAAATATTTATTTATAACAATTAGTTAGGGTTAGGGTCATTAATGTGGGTTATGGTCAGGGTTAGTTTTAGGGTCAGGGTTAGGGTTAGGGTTAGGCTCATTAATGTGGGTTAGGGTCAGGGTTAGTTTTAGGGTCAGGGTTAGGGTTAGGGTCATTAATGTGGGCCACCATAACATCAGTAACAGGTC